GTCATTTTTTTTTTAAAAAAAAAAAAAAAAAAAAATAAAAATTGAATGTATTTTAAAGCCCCCCCTTTTTTTCCCACCATGGACAATGATTTTTTTTCAAAAAACACCCTTTTTTTAAAAACCCCAAAAAAAAAAAAAAAAATTGAAGGGGGGCGGGGTTTAATTTCCCCGGGGTTTGGGAGGGGTTTTATTTTAAAGTTTTTGGGTAAGGGGCTTTTCCTTCCCGGGGAAAAAAAATTTTTTAACGTTTTTTTCTTTAAAAGGGGGAAAAGGGGGGGGAAAAAGGAGCACCTGGGGGGGGGGTTTTTGGGTTTTTTTTTGGTTTTGGGGGCAGGAAAAAACCCGGTTCAGGCCACCTTTTTTTAAAAAGTGAGAATTCAGGGGACACCGGGGGGTTGGGCTTCGGGGAGGGACAAAAAAAAACCCCCCCCCTTTTTCCCCGGGTTTCCCCCGGGGGGGAAAAAACGGAAACCACCGCCCGGGGGGGGGGGGGCCCCCCCAAAACTAAAATTTTTTTTTTTTTTTTTTAAAAAAAAAGGGGGGGGGGCTTTAAAAATAAATTTGGGGGGGTTTTTGGGGTTTAAACTTTTTTTTTAAAAAAATTTTTTTTTTTTTTTAAAAAAAAAATTTTAAACCCCAATAAGTTGGGGGGTTTTTGCCCTTTTTTGCTTTTTTGGGTTTTTTTTGGTTTTTTGCCCTTTTTGGGGGGTTTTAAAAGTTTTTTGTTTTAATGGGGGTTTGTTAAGGTTTTTTTTTTTTGGGGGGGTTTTAAACAGGAGAAATTTATTTTTTTTTTAAAAAAGGGGCGGGGGGGGGGGGGGGGGGGGGAAAAAAAACCCGGGAGGGGAAAAACCCCGGGAGGGGGGTTGGGGGCCCCCGGGGTTTTTTTTTTTTTTTTTTTTTTTTTTTTTTTAAAAAAAAAAAATAAAAATTTTTTTTCCAATTTTTTTTTAAAAAATTTTTCCCTGAAAGAAAAAAAAAAAATTTAAAGGTTTAATACCCCAAATTTTTTCAGAATTTTTTTGGTGGGAAGGGGGCCCTTTTTTTTTTTAAAAAAAATTTCTTTTTAAAATTTATTTTTTTGGCCAATTGGAAATAATTTACACGCAGGTTTTGCACATTTTTTTTCCCAAAAAAGCTCCTTTTTAAAATGTCCCTTTTTGGTGGATTTTTTTTTTTTTTCCCGTAAACGCTTCCTACAAATTTTTGGGGTGTGTGGGTTTTTAATTTTGGGGGGACAGGTCTTTTAAGGCAAAAAAAAAAAAAAACAAAATTTTTTTTAAATGTGGCCATAAAATTTTGGACCCCCCAAAATTTGGGGCCTAGAAAGGGTTTCGGTTTAGGGCCCCAGGGAAAAAAATTTTTTTTTTCCCCAATGGGGTTTAAAAGCCCAAAAAGGGAAAAAAACCCCTTTTTTAAAAATTTTTTTTTTTTCTAAAGGGGGTTTTTTTTGTAAAAATAGGGTTTTTAAAAAAAAAAAAATAAAGGGGTTTGGGAAAAAGTTTTTTGGGGGGGGTTTTTTTGGGGGGGGAAAAAAAAATTTTTTGGGGGGGGGGGTTTTTTTTTTTTTTTTTTTTTTTTTTTAAAAAAAAAAAAAAAAAAAAAAAAAAAAAAAAAAAAAAAAAAAAAAAAAAAAACCCCCCCCCCCCCCCCCCCCCCCCCCCTTGGGGTTTCCGGGGGGGGGGGAAAAAAAAAAAAAAAAAAAAAGGGGGGGGGGGGAAAAAAAAAAAAAAAAAAAAAAAAAAAAAAAAACCCCCCCCCCCCCCCCCCCCCCCCCCCCCCCCCCTTTTCCCCCCCCCCCCCCCCCCCCCCCCCCCCCCCCCCCCCAAAAAAAAAAAAAAAAAAAAAAAAAAAAAAAAAAAAAAAAAAAAAAAAAAAAAAAAAAAAAAAAAAAAACCCCCCCCCCCCCCCCCCCAAAAAAAAAAAAAAAAAAAAACCCCCCCCCCCCCCCCCCCCCCCCAAAAAAAAAAAAAAAAAAAAAAAAAAAAAAAAAAAAAAAAAAAAAAAAAAAAAAAAAAAAAAAAGGGGGGGGGGGGGAAAAAAAAAAAAAAAAAAAAAAAAAAAAAAACCCCCCCCGGGGGGGGGGGGGGGGAAAAAAAAAAAAAAAAAAAAAAAAACCCCCCCCCCCCAAAAAAAAAAAAAAAAAAAAAAAAAAAAAAAAAAAAAAAAAAAAAAAAAAAAAAAAAAAAAAATCCCCCCCCCCCCCCAAAAAAAAAAAAAAAAAAAAAAAAAAAAAAAAAAAAAAAAAAAAAAAGGGGGGGTTTTTTTTTTAAAAAAAAAAATTTTGGGGGGGGGCCCCCCCCCCCCCCCCCCCCCCCCCCTTTTTTCCCCCCCCCCCCCCCCCCCCCCTTTTTTTTTTCCCCCCCCCCCCCCCTTTTTTCCCCCCCTTTTTTTTCCCCCCCCCCCCCTTTTCCCCCCCCCCCCCCCCCTTTTTTTTCCCCCCCCCCCCCCCCCCCCCCCCCCCCTTTTCCCCCCCCAAAAACCCCCCTTTTTTTAAAACCCCCCCCCAAAAAAAAAACCCCCCCTTTTTTTCCCCTTTTTTTTTTAAAAAACCCCCTTTAACCCCCCCTTTCCCCCAAAAATTTTAAAAAAAAAGGGAAAAAACCCCCAAACCCCAAAAGGGGGCGAAAAAAATTTTCCAAATTTTTTTTTTTTCCCGCCCCCCCCCCCCCCCCCTTTCCCCCCCCCCTTTTTTTCCCCCTTTTTTTTTTCCCCCCTTTTTTTTTTTTTCCCCCCCCTTTTCCCTTTTCCCCCCCCCTTTCCCCTTTTTTTTTTCCCAAAAATTTTTTTTTCCCCCCCCCCCCCTTTTTATTCTCCCCCTTTTTTCCCCCCTTTTTTTTTCCCCTTTTTTCCCCCTTTTTTTTCCCTTTTTCCCCCCCCCCTTTTTTTTTAAAAAAAAAAAAAATTTTTTTTTTTTTTCCCCCAATTTTCCAAAGAAACCCCTGCCCCAAGAAAGCCTTTTGGGGGGCCTTTAAAAAAAAAAGGGAAAATTTTTTTCTAGGGAAAAATTCCCCGTTTTGCCCAAAACCGGAATTTTTGGGGGATTTTTAACCCCCCTTTTTCCCATTTTTGCCCTTTTGCCCATTTTAAAAAAAATTTTTTTTTTAAAAAGGGTTTTTCGGGGAAAACGGAAACAGCCAATTTGCCTTTTAAAAAATTTATTTTCCCATTTTGATTCTCAGACACGAGTTTCTGACAAGTGTAAACAGGCAATATTTTGCGACACAGTAAGTGATGTTTGCATGTTTCTTTTAGTTTGATATACTCTTCTTTCAGAAGTCTGGTTCTGTCTCTAAACTAGTTTAGATAGGGGTAGGCGGTTTCTTACAGCACCCCTTTCCATGTCTCTCATTTTCTGACCCATGTCCAGAACAGTTATATACGTTCCTCACTGCTTTTCATTCTTTGTGCAGGTCCAGGCGGGAGAAGGCAGAGTCTACAAGTGTCTCTTCAACCATAAGTTTGAGGAATCCATGAGCGAGCGTGTAAGTCTTTTTCACATTCACCACTTTGTATCTTAAAGGTGGACTTGAAACTAAAACAGAACACTTCTCTTCTCCTTCTGTTCTATAATTGTATTACTTTCATTTCCTGACTACTTTGCTGTAAATGTTTGACCAGTTTTAAAAAGAAAAATCCCCTTCCTCTTTTGTGAATCACAGCCATATTCTCTCATGTTTGAAATGCATTATCAGGACTGTACTAGAGACGGGAAGATGTGGAGGCAGCTATGGGGGTCAAATGTTTAAATGTCACTGAAAATATTGGAAAAAAACAACACCCAAAATTTGTATTATACAATGAGTATTTTCTGAGAGCTTTCATCAGTGGACATAGCAGACCTCCTGGGGTGGTGTTATTCCTGCCCTTAGGAGAATGGACAACACACCCACCTACCCACCCACACCCTGTGTTCCCATCGATGTCATGCAGTAAGAATTTTTACAACAGAAAAGGAAAGTAAGAGACAACTTAGAAGCTGTGATTATGGTGATAAAAACTTTGTGTTTAAAGAGACCGTGTCGCTCTGCTCATGGGGTAGAGAACATGTCTTTGCAAAGGCTGTTCTCCCCGAAAAATGTAAGAAGCCATGAGATGACTGAGCCCACCTGATGTTACATAAAATTAATAGAATGCTTTTTGAAAGCCCTTAGATCTGCATTTGCCTGTTTTCCTTGGTTAGTTGCAATACTTTATTTGCAACGAAGTGTGACTTTTCCCTCTTCCACAGTGCCGCGATGCTCTTACCACACGTCAGAAGCTGATTGCTCAGGACTACAAGGTGAGTTATTCTCTGGCAAAGTCCTGCAAGGCCGACCTGAAGAAATATCGCTGCAATGTGGAGAATCACCCTCGCTCCCGAGAAGCACGTCTTTCCTACCTCCTCCTATGTCTGGAATCTGCAGTGCACAGAGGTGTGTGGCAGGGTTGCCCTGGGGGGGGCTGATACATTAAACCTGCAGATTTTTGTAATAAAGAAGCAGGAAGCTTACGCGTATGCTTCATCTCTTAGGTTTGCACGCATGCTCTTTTAGGTTTGCACGCATGCCCATTTAACTGCCACTTTACTTGGCAAACCAACATAGGCTGTGGTAGCTGCAGACAGTTGCACAGTGGAGTGTGATACAGAGCGTGGCTCTGGGGGGCTGACTTATGAAGCTTGCAGATTTATGTAATAATGAAGCAGACATTTTTTACATGTATACTCTGCTTGGGTTTTCACATATGCTCCATCTCTGGGGTTTGCACACATGCTCCATCTCTGGGGTTTGCACACATGCGTATTTAACTGCTGCTAAACTTGATGAACCAACATACTGTCAGCTGCAGACAGTAGATAATTGCTGTATAGTTATATGTAGGGTTACAGTTAGGAGTTAAAATTTTCAGTAACTGATCCTCATTTTTTGTGGAGGTCTCTGGCCAGCATTCCCAGAATTCTCAGTGTGTCCGATTTTACCTCTGTAGGCCGCCAGGTGAGCAGTGAGTGTCAGGGAGAGATGCTGGACTACAGGCGCATGCTGATGGAAGACTTCTCTCTGAGCCCAGAGATTATCCTCAGCTGCCGAGGTGAGATTGAACACCACTGCTCGGGGCTACACCGTAAAGGGCGCACGCTGCACTGTCTGATGAAGGTGGTGCGTGGCGAGAAGGGGAACGTAGCGGAGAAGTGCCAGCAAGCGGTGAGTATTTAATGTTTTTACTGCTGTCCCAGTTTCTAGAATTTACCTCACCGGTCTGTGTAAGCCTGGCCGCTTAGTATCAGTCATCTCATTATCCTATATTACAGCTTCAAACTCTAGTACAGGAGACGGACCCTGCCGCTGATTATCGCATAGATCGTGCCCTTAATGAAGCATGTGAGTCCGTCATCCAGACCGCCTGCAAACACATCCGCTCTGGAGATCCCATGTGAGTGTCCACCACACAGCTTTTGCAGACTGAGCAGCCTTTTAAAAGCTGTACTCCAGCTTTCAAAAAAAAACAAAAAAAAACAAATGCTTTTCTCCAAGCAGTGTGTAAGCCTTTTGAGAGACACAAAGGTATTAAAGTAAATATTGTGCCCTCTTCTAGGATCCTCTCATGTCTCATGGAGCACCTGTACACAGAGAAGATGGTGGAGGACTGTGAGCACCGGCTCTTAGAGCTGCAGTATTTCATTTCCCGGGACTGGAAGTAAGACAATACCGTCTGTTAAATGCACTTAGATTTTGAGTTGTGAAGGTTGTTGCAATACTGACCTTTACCTTTCCCACAGATTGGACCCCATCTTGTTCCGGAAATGCCAGGGTGATGCCTCACGCCTCTGCTATGCACACGGATGGAATGAAACTAGTGAGAACATGCCGGCGGGTGCCATCTTCTCCTGTCTCTACCGCCATGCTTACCGCACAGAGGAGCAAGGCAGGAGGGTGAGTGTAGAAAAGGCATGCATAGAGGGGATTAGATTCTTCATGAATAAATGAAACTTCATGAGTCCTGATAAATGTTCTCATTATAGCAGAAAGCATTCCACTAGAATTAATAGTACTCACCTTGATTGGTTTGGGACCCCGAGTATCTGCGATTCTCCTTCTACAAGTGTTACATCTGACATTCTCAGGCCTTCCATAATCAGATTGGGAAACCTTATTTGGGCTACCAAAGTTCAGGCTGTGTCGCTTTTCTTTAGTACTGAACCCACAAACCCTTCACAAAAGCTAACAAGTAACATTTTTCACTATAAATTCCTCTGCAAAATGATCCTTCTGTTTCTTTTCGTAGCTATCTCGAGAGTGTCGGGCTGAAGTACTGCGTATCCTCCATCAGAGGGCCCTGGATGTGAAACTGGATCCTGCCTTGCAGGCCAAATGTATGACAGAGCTGGGGAAATGGTGCAACGAGAAAACTGATACTGGGCAGGTAGAGTCCTTTTTTTGCCTCATTTTTAGCATCTTTTTTTTTCGTACAGTGACTTGTCTGGCATTGGGTTATGTGGTACAGGTAACGGCATCTCCCGTGTTGAGCTCCCTGTGTTTGTTTATACTGATCTTTTAGATTGTATAGATACCATACTGATCTTGGCTCTGTGTTTTAATGGAATATGATGACCTATAGATAGATAGTATAGATGAACAGGCTCCTCCTATGCTGAGCAATGCCCCTGTGTTCAGTCGATTATAATGACCTATAAATAACAAGCTTCTCCTATGCTGAGCAGGGTTCCCCGTGTTCAATTGAAAATAATGACCTACAGGTGTATATATGGCATGGTTAGCAGATTTCCCCTCTACTGAGTAAGGCTGCTTTTGTTCAGTGGTTTATAAGGACCTATAGATAGTATGGATAACTGGTTTCTCCTTTGCTGCACATGGCCCACTGTGTACAGTGGAATATAAAGCCCTATAGATATAGCCCATATTACACCCTGTGTTCAGTGGTGATGGTGTGTGTTCTCTCTCACAGGAGTTGGAGTGTTTGCAGGATCACCTGGAAGAGCTGATCCCAGACTGCAGAGAGATTGTGGGAAATCTGACAGAGCTGGAGTCTGAGGTTTGTGTCTTATTTTGCTGATTTATAGATTTACATTCAGGCTTGGTTCACACTATTGCGGGCCTGTGTTTGTTCGGAACGGCAGCTCATCCATTTGAATGGAACAGTAGCTGATACTGAGCGCTATTGGTATAGAGCCAAATTTATAGTGACCAGTAAAGTGTTAAAAATTAGCAAGGATGATGACAATGTTATCCAGAATAAAAAAGGTTTTTATTATCCACTTGAAAGGAATTAAAACTATTGTTCATAGTCATATGCCCAATGTAAACCAAGGAAAAAGTAGGTGGTATAGCCCAAATGTGGTCAGTAAACTTGGCTTACTGCTGAGGAAATAGGTACATCTGGACCAAGGTGCAGGAGGCGGTGGAGAGGGATCCTGTGGGCTGCTCTGCTGGAAGATAGGTCGCCAACTGTGAGAAGATACCACTCAGAGAACAGGATGCTGCCTCGTACTGTCCTCGGAAACTAACTCGCGCACCAGAAATTACGTCAGCGTGCGCCGGAAGTGACGTCAGTGAAGCTCAGAAACCGGCAGATGAACAGAGAATCCAGAGTGCCTGGGGTGGACCACAACAAGACCAGGTTGCTATTACGGTGCATTTTACACAGATACGTGCTTTGCCAAAGGGATGACTTGACAAAGCATGTATCTGTGCAAAACGCGTTGTCATAGCAACCAGGTCTTGTGGTCCGCACCAGACACTCTGGCTTCTTTGTCCATCCATCAGTGTCCATCTGCCGGTTTCTGCGCTTCATTGACATAACTTCCGCCATGCGACGACGTCATTTCCGGTGTGCGAGTTCTGGGGACATCCGAGGCAGCATCCTGTTTTGTGAGTAGTACCTTCTCACAGTTGGTGACCTATCTTCCAGCAGAGCAGCCCACAGGATTCCTCTCCACCGCCTCCTGCACCCTGGTCTAGATGTACCTACTTCCTCAGCAGTAAGCCAATTTTATTGACCACATTTGGGCTATACCACCCACTTTTTCCTTTGTGCGGTTTCCCTGCGGCTCCCGCACCCTCAGTCATGCTGCGGGCTGAGATGAGTAGGTTATGCCATTCAGAATGAATGGCAGCCCCACACATCGTAGTAAGAGCAGCACCATTCAGCTGCAGGAACAGATGCGATACCCGCAGCCAGCCTAGTGTGAACCAGGGCTCATACAAAGGTAGAGTGTTTTTATATAGAAATTATTTTCTGAGGTAATATTTCCTAACCTTGAAATTGATTTAAAATCGATTCTATTGCTCCTTAAATGCATAAATGTTATCAGAAAAGGTTCAAAGTGCCCTTGCATGGTTATCCTGGCTGTAAGTAGGACAGAATTCTTTACAGTCCATGTTTGTGTCTTACAGGACATTCAGATAGAAGCTCTTCTCATGAGAGCATGTGAGCCCCATCATCCAGGGATACTGCCATGTACGTACTTTGTATTCATCCGTCAGTATAGATTTCGTATAGCCCGTAGTCTCCGGGTCTCTCATGAAGTATTTCCTGTTTGTCTGCAGGAGGTGGCCGACAATCAGATAGACTCCGGCGACTTGATGGAATGCTTAATCCAGAACAAACACCAGAAGGAGATGAATGAGAAGTGCGCAGTGGGAGTCACCCATTTCCAGCTGGTAATAATGCGGTCATGTCTGATCAGTCAGGCAGGGGAGAGGGTGGGTCACTAGGGTGGGTGTGCAGAGTTTAGTATCTTTCTGTCCCAGGATTTCTGTAATATTTTTGTGCCTTTTTATGTTTATAATTCAGATCCAGATGAAAGACTTCCGCTTCTCTTACAAGTTTAAGATGGCCTGTAAGGAGGACGTGCTGAAGCTGTGCCCCAACATCAAGCAAAAGTGAGCATACATTGTATAATATCCCCCTTCAGCTTACACCCCTACAGGTTTATAATCCGTGCAGTCAATTATGACTTTGTAGCAAAAGCCCCACAGTTATCCAGGATCATGTCCAGGATGCCATCAGCAAATTCTATAGCAGTTGTTGTGTTTTGTCTTTAAACATTGAATACTAAAAAGTAACATTGTGGTATGAAAAGCTTTTTGTATCTACCAAGTTTACACAGCAGGTTTCACGCTTTGAGAATCGTGTTTTGTTCTTTGCTTTCCTTTCTGTTATTCTAGTCAAGCGAATCGGTGCCAAGCTTGCTTAAACCAGAAGGTCTGCATGTGTCATCACTTCTGTTTGGATTTGTGCTTGAAGTGATGACATGTAGATACATTCCGGTTTAGGAAGGCTTTGCTGTACTATCAGGCAATACATCCTCATTCTGTTCAGGAAGTGATCTTTGGATTGTTTTACTTTCAGGGTGGACGTTGTCATCTGTCTGAGCACCACAGTCCGAAATGACACCTTGCAGGATCTGAAGGAGCAGAGAGTGTCCCTGAAGTGCCGCAAGCAGCTGAGGGTGGAGGAGCTGGAGATGGTAAATTCTTTGTGTGTTTCCTATATATACAAGATGCTTTCTGCATTGGGGTCTGTATATATTTCTGTGCAGACTTGGATTATCTTTACATAATTAGAACAAGCCTTGCTGTCAAGGTACAGTATCTCAAAAGCACAACGTCGGGGGATTGATTTGTTTTTAAAAGAAAAGAAAAATAAATGCATATACTGCTCAGACCTCCCCCCCCCCCCCCCCCCCCCCAAAAACACATACTCACACCATATACACCTCTATTGCCTAAACCTAAGCCACACCAACATCCAGTACTGATCAGTTTTGTAGGAACCCTTCCAGGTGCTTAAAGGGAAAAGTTAGTATGTTTTTAGAGGCTTGCTTATTACATGTTTTTCCACATTTTTATAGTTTAGTTACAAATTTGAAGATTTTCCTTTTAGTGCGTGTCAGACACTGCACACCATTTGTTAAGTTTTCTCTTTCGTTCATTGTAGAACAGTGGTTCTCAACCTGTGGGTCGCGACCCCTTTGGGGGGTCGAACGACCCTTTCACAGGGGTCACCTAAGACCATCGGAAAACACATATTTCTGATGTGTAAAGAGCAGCTACTGTGTAGAAAGCAGCTGCTGTGTTGAAAGCAGCTACTCTGTTAAAAGCAGCTACTGTGTTGAAAGCAGCAGTATTGGAGGTAAAACGACACTCATGAATTATAATTACTGGGTAAATAATTTTATGGTTTGGGGTCACCACAACATGAGGAACTGTATTAAAAAGGTCACGGCTTTAGGAAGGTTGAGAACCACTGTTGTAGAACAGTCATACTTCATGATGGAGAGGTTTGATGTCGCCACCTACAGGAGCAGGATGCTAAATGCAACTAAACTAAAATCACAATCAAGGGGCAGCCCCATCTGGTGGTGGCCAAAACTCCCAACTGCAGCAAAGTTTTCAGTACACTGTCCCAACAGAGGACGTTACCTGCACCTACGAACCCTGACAACCTTCTTTAAAGGTGCGCAAGTTTTACTTGGAGTCGGTTTACTCTGTGTTTGCCTCCTTACATCAAGGGGATTTCTTGCCCCACTCTATCTCAAGGATGCTTACCTACCATGTCCCCATTTGCCACAGTCACCACTGTTTCCGACGATTCCGGTAGAATAGATGCATTACCAATTTGTTGCCTTGCCCTTTGGTCTGGCGTCAGCACCACGTGCCTTCGCTATGACATTAGCTTGATCATAGTTGGGATCTTAAACAAGATCTCTCCACCACAATCAAGACATTGGAGGAATTCAGTTCTATTTCCATCTATTCTCTTGGAGTACTTGGATTTTCCCTTTGCTGAATACATTTCTAAAGCTTCTCCTTTACGTTCATCGCCTAATTTCTCTGCAGACTACATCCATAAATTTCTGCATGAGAATTTTGGGTCTTGTGATGGCTTCCTTTGAAGCAGTTTCTTACATACAACTCCATTTCAGTCCTCTACAGTGAGAGATTCTGGGTTCGCTGGATCAGCCTATATGTCTCTCACCCATTATATGCGGCCTTACCTGGTGACTTCGGTCCCTTTTGCCCTCTTGAGACTTCAGTCTTGTCATCTTTGCAGAAGCCTCTTTTTGAAAACATCCGGCATATCCCCCTTTCATCTTTGTTTCAGATAGTGGCGTCGGGTGATGGAACTAGCAGCCCTTTCTTGTGAACAGCTGTTTTTGGTGTTACACGAACATAAAGTGGTTCTTCACCCTCCTCTGTCCTCCTTACCTAAGGTGGTGTCGGCCTTCCACTTGAATGAAGACTTTGTTCTACCATCTCTCTGCCGTTATCCTTTTCATCCCAGAGAGGTGGCCCTTGCCTTCCCATTGCCTGGCTGTAGTTAGAGTTGTTGGGGTTTACCATTGCACTAAGGCCCCTGATTGCAAATCTGACACTTCATTGTTCTGGCTGGCCCGAGGAAAGGTCCAGCCGTGGCTTTGCCTTCCACCATTTCCTGGTGGATGTGTCAAACTCTTGTCCAGGTTTATACACTTGCTGGTCGAGAACCTTCGTTTCTGCTCACTGCACAGTCTACCAGGTTGCAGAGTGTATCCTGTGCTTTTCATCATTCTGCTTTGGTTGTTCCAAGTTTGCAAGGTGGATACTAGGTTGTCTGTTCCCACTTTTACCAAGTTCTATTAGGTTGATGTAGCTGTCTCGACCGATGATGTCAGCTTTGGTCAGAAGGTTTTGCATAAGGCAATATGACTTCTGCTTGGGGTGTGGTTCCTTGTTCAGTTTTTTTTCTGGGACTGTTTTGGGACTTCCCTTTCATCAAGTATGGCTGTGTCCTTCAATGAATGAAAGAAAACAAGATTTTTGTACTCACCGTAAAATTCTTTTCTCTGAGTTCATTGAAGGACACAGCACCCACCCAGTCATTTTTTGGCCGTCTCAGTGGGTATGTCCTATGCTGCTGGTACTGTTAATTACTGACTGTACTCCTTGCTGCAGAAGGGGGGTTTGGACACCTCCAAAAGGGCTGTCCCCTGGGTGTACTTTTAGGTTCACCTAGTATCCTGCTCCTCTAGGTGATGACGTCAAAGTCATTTGTCATGAAGTATGGCTGTGTCTTTCAATGGTCTCAGAGAAAAGGGTTTACGGCGAGTATAAAAATCTTATTTGCGTTAAGCTGGGAACATTAACTTGCACACTGTTAAGGTTATGTATTCCCTCTGATTCACTATGGAACACACATTTTCCTGCAGAAAGTGAGCTCTGAGATTTGCTGTTCAGATTGCTGTGCTTGGTCTTTGTGTGGCCTATCTTCTGCTCCTCGCTGATAGTAAGTCACAGTGCACTTGCTATAAAAGTTCTCTAATAAGGGAATAATTGCAGAAATTGCGAGGACTCTTTATTCATTTAAGTAGGATTCCAGACTTTACCTAACCTTAAAAACGCTCCCTCCATCTCAACACCTATGCTGACAAACCTGTATAAGAGATTTATACACTTACCTCCACTCCGGGAGAGGAGAGAGCGCTTGACGGCTGGTTTTCCCTGTGCAGTGACATCACGCATAGGCTTTCTATGGCCTATCCGTTGCTGGTGCTTCCTCTTCTTCCCTTGCAGCATTGGCTGACACGGGAGCCGGATCATGTTTCCAGAGCAGGGTAAAGATAGGTAAGTATACAGATCTTTCTTACATAAGTTAGTATAAGTGATAGGAGAGCGGAGGGAAGATTTTTAAGACTAGGTAAAGCCAGGGATTCTATTTTAAGTGATAATCCATACATAGCTGGATTGGAGCCAGGAAGGCTGTAATCTGAAACATTTCTATGGACATCTGTGCATGAACTTGGGTCAGGGCAGGTGGACACAGCTTGGGGTGCGAGGCAAATTATTGTATGAAACCCTAGGCAGAAAGTCTGGTGTGTAGTGACCCTGTGTGTGTGATGGAGATACTGAATTCTGTAATTTTCCTTTCAGTCAGAGGACATCCGCCTTGAACCCAAACTGTATGATGCTTGTAAGACTGACATCACCTCCATCTGCCCTAATGTACCCTTTGGAAATGCTCAGGTGAGCCTTCCCTCTACTGGCCAATTTTCCTACTCTCTTAGCATTTGTATTACTTTATATTAATCTTTTCTGTATTGTCCCAGATCATTGAGTGTCTGAAGGAGAGTAAGAAGCAGCTGAGTACGGCCTGCCATCAGAAAATCTTCAAACTGCAGGAGACTGAGATGATGGACCCCGAGTTGGATTACACACTGATGAGGGTCTGCAAACAGATGATCAAGGTTAGCGCTGCTCCCTGTCCATCAGTGCTTGGGAATTACCCTGAGAGTAGCCATCAATCACATAACTTCCCCCTCTGTTCTCTCCACAGAGGTTCTGCAGTGACACTGACCCAAAGAACATCCTGCTGTGTCTGAAGCAGAACAAGAATACAGAGACCATGGACCCCAAATGTAAACAGATGATCACAAAGCGACAGATCACCCAGAACACAGGTGTGTCTCGCGTGACCCCCGAGGGGTGTTTGTGGGTGTGACCCCTGAGGACATGGGGGGGTGACCCCCGAGGACATGGGGTGGGTGTGTGTGACCCCGGGGTGTCCCGTGTGTGTGTGTGTGTGTGTGTGTGTGTGTGTGTGTGTGTGTATGTGTGTGTGTGTGTATGTATGTATGTATGTGTGTGTGTATATATATATATATATATATGTATATATATATATATATATATATATATATATATATATATATATATACCGTATTTGCCGGCGTATAAGACGACCCCCCTACTTTTCCTGCTAAAATGTAGTGTTTGGGCTATACTCGCCGTATAAGACTACCCCTCTTCCAGTGCACACCAGTGGGAGGAATAGTGCCCCATCATCGGTATCAGTGGAGGGAATAGTGCCCCATCATTGGTATCAGTGGAGGGAATAGTGTCCCATCATTAGTATCAGTGGGGGAATGGTGCCCCATCATTGGTGTCAGTAGGAGGAATAGTGTCCCAACATTGGTGTCAGTGGGGGAATGTGCCCCATCGTTGGTGTCAGTGGGGGGTGGAATAGTGCCCCATCGTTGGTGTCAGTGGGGGTGGAATAGTGCCCCATCGTTGGTGTCAGTGGGGGTGGAATAGTGCCCCATCGTTGGTGTCAGTGGGGGGTGGAATAGTGCCCCATCGTTGGTGTCAGTGGGGGGGGGGAATAGTGCCCCATCGTTGGTGTCAGTGGGGGGGGGAATAGTGCCCCATCGTTGGTGTCAGTGGGGGGGAGGAATAGTGCCCCATCGTTGGTGTCAGTGGGAGGAATAGTGCCCCATCATAGGTATCAGCGGGAGGAATAGTGCCCCATCATTGGTATCAGTGACACCAATGATGGGGCACTATTCCTCCCACTGACACTTGCTGACTCTGTTCTCGTATGGTGCTGCTGCAGCCAGCATATGTGGTTGCAGCAGCACCTCTACACTGACCACTTACCTGCTGGTCCTGCACTCGATTTTCGCGCGGCCGCTCGGCTCCACCCTCTCGCCGGTGATTGGCCGCCTGTGTGCCTTTCCTGAGCTACAGTTCTGGCGGCCAATCGCTGGTGAGGAGGCGGAGCCGAGCAGCCGCGCGAACTCCAGTGGCCGAACTGAAGGCGCAGCCGCGCTTCCTGGACCGGATCGTCGTGGGACCGGAACCAGGTAAGAAATAGCCCCTGCCCACCCCTGTACTTAGTGTCCCTTCCGTTAGGGGAAGGGGGGGGGGCGGCGGCGGCACCGCTCCGCCCCCCTAAAAAGTGTCATGTCATGTTATACCGGCGTATAAGACGACCCCCGACTTTTGAGAAGATTTTTAAGGGGTAAAAAGTCGTCTTATACGCCGGCAAATACGGTATATATATATCTCTCCCCAGGGACACGGTGGTGTGTCCCTGAGGACCCAGGGGGGAGGGTGTTCACTTATGGACATTTATTCAAACCAATTGCCAGTTTTTCTTTGGATTCTATTTTTTGGCTGGTGTTGAATCCTGGGCCCATTCATTTTCCATTACTACTCTAGAATGTCTTTGCCTAATTTCATTTCAGCCATGTTCTCCTGGAACATTGTACTGCTCACTGACTTTTAACAAGTTGTCCAATTTTTACAAATATCAGGATTTGACCAGCAAATTGCTTTAGAGTTGATAAAGAAAGTAAATTTAATCTAGATTTGTCTTCTCACAGATTATCGGTTAAACCCTGTACTCCGCAAATCCTGCAAAGCTGACATTCCCAAATTTTGCCAGGCCATCCTGAACAATGCTAGAGATGACACAGAACTGGAAGGTCAAGTCATCTCCTGCCTCAAACTTAAGTATGCAGACCAGGTATGTCGAGGACATGGCTGAGGGACACAGACAATTGTGCATTGTTCTCAGTCACGCCCTCCATTCCCAAAGAATCCAGGCCACTCCCTCTATCTCCATAGATCCTGGTCACCCTTTATCCGGGTCATTCCCTCAATCATGGTAGATAATGTTAATCCAGTCATTTTTATTTCCTGCCACTTGGCAGAAGCTTTTCTTCTTGTAATCAAATATTTGCTTTATCTAGACAAGACTTTCCTAACAATTTGCTTTGTGCACAGCGTCTGTCGCCTGACTGTGAAGACCAGATCCGCGTCATCATTCAGGAGACTGCTCTAGATTACCGGCTCGATCCTCAGCTGCAGATGCAGTGTTCTGAAGAGGTAATAGTGTTTTGTGTACTATGATCTGCACCTGCTGGTGAGAATTTAAATCCAGGAAATATGGTGACTGCTTTCTTAGAATACAGTGTATAGCTCAGCAATGGGCAAACTACGGCCCGCGGGCTATATACGGCCCTGCGGACCTTTTAATCCGGCCCGCAGCCAGGGCAGGCAAACATTGGCTGTCAGGATGTGTGTAGGCGGGGCAGCGTGACGAACGTGAGGGGAGCTAGGCTCCTCTCACAGTCCGCCCTGAAGACCGGAACGGCGCGGGAACACGGCGAGAGGAACGCGCGGAGCAAAGGTAAGTGAATTGACACAGGGGGGACTTGGCTTACTACTTGGGGGGGAATAGTACTGTGGGGGATGAAATACTATATGAGGGATGAATTAATATGGGGGATGAATTACTATATGGGGGATGAATTACTATATGGGGGATGAATTACTATATGAGGGATGAATTACTATATGAGGGATGAATTACTATATGAGGGATTAATTACTATGAGGGATTAATTACTATATGGGGGATGAATTACTATATGGGGGATGAATTACTATGGGGGATGAATTACTGTATGGGGGATGAATTACTGTATGGGGGATGAATTACTGTATGGGGGATGAATTACTGTATGGGGGATGAATTACTATATGGGGGATGAATTACTATGGGGGATGAATTACTATGCTTACTATGGGGGAATATTACTATACTTACTATGGATGACACATACACATCATTCATCTACTCTTGGTCCGGCCCCCGGGTCCAGTATATGAACCCATTGCGGCCCTCAAGTCAAAAAGTTTGCCCACCCCTGGTATAGCTTGTTTTCCTTCTCTCCTTCACAAATCTGTAAATTTAGAGGCCAGATAGAATTTCCCCATCAACGTGTTGCTCCATTATAGCTTTATTCAAGTTTTGCATTATAAATTAACAATACAAAGTTATGCAAAGCAAAACATTAGTCAACAGGCAGGGCAGGGAAAGTGGGAGGGGGAGATTGGGAGAGGTTATGGTGAGCTGTGGTCATTACATTTGCATACTAAATATACTCAAGTTAATATAAAGAATATCGAGTCTAGAAAAGACTGTGGGACACCATATATGACAGCTTTGATTTTTGGTTTACAATCGCTTTCGAACTGTTGGAGTCTCTGGACTGTCTGAGAGAATAGTCCACAGAGACTATCCAGCAGGACTAGTTCAAGGAAGCCTCCACATGTTGTTGTTGCATGCTATCTGGTTCTCCATTGTCATTGGGTCATTTAGGATCTGAGCCTACTCCACCAGGCAGGGAACTGATTTCCACTGTCTGGTGATGGCAACCGTGGCTGCTAGAAGGCAATGCCTCAGCATGCTTTTGTAATTTTAGAGAAGGACCCAGGTATCACTGACAGGCGAGCCACTTGGGGAGTAGTTGGAATACTGGATAAGTACATGCTCTTGTAAGTAGAGAAGACAAAAGGGGTATCATACCCTGCCTTCCCACCAACTGTGGAGGTAATTGCCTGGTTCCTCTAAGCCCATCGATTTGAATAGTTGCTTGGGTTGAGTTAACTGTCCTTATAATAGATTAATAAAATATATTGAGCTTTTGACTAGCGAGAATGTTGTATTCTATAAATTTTCCTGAATACCACAGATTAACAGCCTGTGTGGCGAGGAGGCCGCGGCCCAGGAACCCCACCGGGCAGGTGGAGGAATGTCTGAAGATGAACCTTCTAAAGATCAAGTCCCCAGGCTGTAAGAAGGTGAGAAGTGACTGCATGACCCTAGAGAGGATTTTAACCCCATTTTTATTTTATTGCGGCAGTCGGTGCGCTTTACAAATGTGCATTATGCCTTGTTTGAAGGCCTGATCATTTGACCTGTTCACCATATGACCAATCACTCCTCCAATCAATTCCACATTAGTCCAAGAGAACTTTTTGGGACACTGCAGGCATTTTGTGAAAAATGCAGGACCTGGTGTATAGCGATATTTCCAATCCACTATAAATGGTCTCCTCTATATTCTGCTAATGCTTATTAATTTCACTTCAAAGCACCTTATCAGGATAGAAATACAGGAACTGCTTTTGTTAACTTTTGTACGACGGTGCCAATTCTGGGCTGCCATCCTCATCCTTCACTAGTTGGCAAGTCATGACATGAAACAAGCATGTAGTCAGTGAAGTGTCCACACTTGATATGCACATGCTGGTTCAGGTAAGTGACCTTCTGACAAGAAAAGAAGTCAGGACAAACATTCAGCAACGGGAGCTTACTGGCTGCCTGGTTTGCCTTATTGTCAAATGGTATAATATATGTGCCAGGTATTGATGCACAGTATACACATTGGGTCCCTAACGGAAGGTATTATATGTGTACATTGCACTTCAGCTTTGATGAGTAGGAAAGGCACATTGTTACATAAAGTCAGATTAGCCTTTTTTTTTCCTCTTTCATGCACATTGCATTTGGAATATCAAGTGTGGTACATGAGGGGTTTCTATACAGAGGGATGGTTGTTGTAAGACTGGGGATGGTTTGTGTGGTTTCAGCCCTGATGAGACCATGGCCTGTTAATTTTTTTTCAAACCCTTTCATACCCCAACAGCGAAGAAAACAGTTTACTTGTACAATAAAGTATGGAATAGCAAGAGAATGGTCCCAAAATCATTGGTGTCAGTGGGATCATGGTTCCTAGGGGTGACCGGCCCCCTAAATCATTTAAGGCAAGGGATTGGATTTCCCCTGAGGGATAAGCTCTTTAATTTGTTGCTGTAATGTGGGATAGTGGCACTCAGGGAAGAATAGCCCCAAAATCATTGATGTCAGATGGGATGGTGAACCATAAGAATAATAGCCCTCCAAATCATTCAGGTCAGGTGGGATAGTGGCCTTCAGGAGCAAATGGTCCCCTGGGCAGAATAGCTACTAATATCATTGGTGTCAGTGGAATAGGGGGGGGGGACTCGCCCTCCCCTGAACCTGATCTCTCTTCCTGACCCAAAATCAATGGTGTCCGTGGAATTGTGATCACAGGGGAGAAAAGCCCCTACAGAGGAAGACTGATGGACCCACACACTGCCCATCAATGCCTTTTCAAATGACACCCTTCCATGCGCAGGTGCGACATCATCTGAATTATTTCATTTCTATGGGATACAGATCAGTCTGCCCACAGAATAATTTCAGCCAGGGTACTTTCATTCATAAAAGTTAGTAACGGTACCCTTTTTCAATGACGCCGCAGGCTGGGGATCTTATTGGCGATCCAGTCTGAACATTTTTTTAGTAGTAGCTGTCTAAGCAGACGGGAATCTGTGGCCTAGAAGGAGGGAGGTCACAGCCTGGTGGTTGAGTACCACTGATTTAAAGCATTTTAAACCCCATCCAACCTTGTGTGAATGCCAAAACCAGGCCACATAGGGGGGGAAACATGCAGTTTGTTGTACATACAATCTGATGCTTTAATATTCTCTGCCAGCTGATGTAATCCTGATCCTTCTTTTTGCAACAGGAAGTTCTGAACATGCTGAAGGAAAGCAAGGCAGACATATTTGTGGATCCCGTGTTGCACACGGCCTGCGCACTTGACATAAAACATCACTGTGCCGCCATACCACCAGGAAAAGGACGTCGTAAGTAACATCCCCAAACTGCTGTTATGTTTAATCTGTATGGGCCAGCAGATCATATCTGAATAAGAGATGTTTTCTCATTGCAGAGATGTCCTGTTTGATAGAAGCATTACAAGACAAGATGGTACGACTGCAGCCCGAGTGTAAGAAGAGACTACAGGACCGCCTGGATATGTGGAGCTACGCGGCCAAGGTGAGTGAGACAGCTTGCATGCCAATCCTTTGTGTCTTGCCTCGCAAAAAAAATATTTCTCCAACCTCGGATACACACAAGCAGAGATCTGCTGCACAAAAGTTAGTGATTGTAAACGCATTTTTTATTTTTTTTGTAATAACATACATGTTATACTTACCTGCTCTGTGCAATGGCGTTGCAAAGAGCAAGCCATGATCCTCCTCTTCTCATGTCCCCCGCCGGCGCTCCTGGCTCTTCCACCCTCCGCCAAGTGCCAACCATGACAAACCACTATTGGAGCACTCATGCGGGCTTGCTCCCGATCGGGTTCCGTATATCCATAAACACACACAGAGCTCAGCTTGGCCCTTACCCCCCCCCCCCCCCCCCCCCACTCCCTCCTCACTGGCTGTGGTTGACTGCAGCGGGAACCAATGGCTTTTGTTGCTGTCTCTGAGCCTATGAGGAGGGAGAGAGTTGAGAGAAACACTGGAGTTTACCAGGTTTACTTTACTATATAAATTTGTTGTAATGTATATAATTGTTTTCGTTCCAGGTGGCCCCGGCTGATGGATTCTCTGACTTGGCCATGCAAGTGATGAGTTCTCCGTCCAAGAATTACATCTTGTCGGTCATCATGGTCGGCGTGTGTGTACTTTTCTTCGGAGGCCTGCTGTGTGGTCGCATCACCAAGAGGGTGACAAGAGAAATGAAGGACAGGTAGAGCACCGGGCCCCCTCCTACACCTCTCAGCAAGAGCTCTGAGAAGCAGGGGGCTTCTGGGGAGGGAGGGCAGGCCTGTTGCCACGTGTACAGCTCTCCCATGC